CAAAAACACTGTGAAGGTTTCAAAAAAGTCGAACCTTCACAGCAAAAACACTGTGAAGGTTTTAAAAAGTCACCTTCACAGCATTTTGCTGTGAAGTTTCAAGTGTAAAATGYTGGTCTCACAGGTCTCACGAAAACAGGCTGGTCTCACATGATCCTTATATATATATATATATATATATATATATAGACTTAGTGAATGTACGAAAAACAACAAACCTTCACAGTGAAAGCAAAACATCGTGAAAGTACGAAAAACAATAAACCTTTGCAGTGAAAAACACTGTAAAGGTTCAGTGTTAGGGGATGTTGTATCTACCGATGTTTTTGAAAGCAAATCCGGTTCAAAGAAAGAGCTCACAAAGACGTGGCCAAATGAGCTCGTTGGGTCTGCTTCTCTTTTGGGAAATTGTGGTCGACACCGCCTACGCCTTATGGTCTTACGGAAATATCATCGTCTCGCATGATCCCAAATCCATTTATACATATACAGACTCTGGGATCATGTGAGACCGGCCATACTATTTTCGTAAAACCCATGAGACAACATAAATAACATTGAACTTTCACAACAAAATACTACAAGAAACGTCCTCTACATATATATATATATATATATATATACACACACACACACATATATACATACACACATATATACATACATACATATATATACATATATATACATACATACATACATACATACATATATATATATATACATACATATATAGGGTTGGGTTCACATGAGACAAAGGTTTTTATGACCCGTAAGACCAATTTATGTTCATTGATTACCTTTATAAGCTAATGATCTAATGGTCTAAAGTTGTACGGTGACAATTTTGTGATTATTGAGAAGTCTCGTGACAATTTTTGTGATTATGAATGTTCAGATTGTAGTTCTAATCCAAGGGCTGAGAATTGGTCTTACGGATCTCACGAAAAACCCTTGATCTCACATGATCCCAAATCTATATATATATATACACATACATATATATATATACACATACATATATATATATATA